TTCCTTATATAAATAGGTGTCACTTCTCGATGATCACCACTATAAATTTCAATGTCAGCTGCCTGACAATCACATGCTACTGTACACATGAAATTTATAGTCATGACCATCCAGAAGAGAGACCTATTTACATATTTATACAACTGGATATTTTTCATTTTTGGGTTCACTGTGGCAGGGACATAGAACCAGCATAGCCACAAAAATGTTGGTTACCTTACAATTTGCATGCTAGTAGGTATCCCAGCACTCAGCTTACAGCCAATGAAATTCTTAACTAAACACTAGAAAAGGCATATATTCAACTTGCCATGTTATTTCATTCAATATCTCCATATAAAAATAATGCATACCAAATAAAAGCTTATTTCATGAACTTTGTTTCTATCTTGTTTATTTTTATATGTACTACCCCATACTGCTATGCTGGTTCCATATACCCACCACTGTGAACACCAAATGTAAAATCTCAGAAAATTTGCATATTGACCAAACACACCATGTTGAATATAGAGATGCTTGATAAGATGGCTGTATCAAGCAATTTTTTTCCAACCAACAAAAGCAACATAAAATGCAATTGAAACACCCAAATATTTGTTTATGTCTATTAAAAGTTCTCACCAGCTCAGAAATACTTCCAAGCTGGCACTCAAACTTTATAAATTAATCAATTTCTTCTTGCACAATTACTGTTTATTATTATTAAAATTTTTATAGAAATTAACACCTGACCAATCTCTTGTTCTTTGACAGAACTAGAATTTTTTTGCAACACAATCCAACACACATAATCTGACACATACTAATTCTGGATAACCTGAAACCAATCTGGAAACATTTCGATCCATGATATTCTGTACCATACTAATCCGTAACATTTGGAAACTTTTTTTTTTTTTTTTTTAATTAAAAAAATTTAATGTATTCAGTTGCTATTTTTAAAAAAAAAAAAAAGAGAGCACAGGGAACTCCTACACATGCCTAATTCTTTATAAAGTTCTCATTATTATCTTTACATTAATCAATCCAATCAAAATTGAAAAATACTTACTAAAATTCAAGGCACCAAAATTTAATGCTTGGTTTTCTTTTGCTAATCTTTCATCTTTAGTAAGAATCTGCACAGGTATAATTTCTCCTTTGTCATCATCATCCTCCTCCTCCAACTGCATTCGTGATTTTGTTGTAGGGCTCTGTTGTCCCCTCACACAGCTAGAGCCTACCCCACTTGTTGTCAGGGTAGTTGTGCTATTTGACGTGTCCATAGTCACAAAAGCATTCAGAGCAGCACTGGCCTCTTGCAATAGCCGTGTTGTCCGATGCTGAAGTGAAGGGGGATGGGGTGATGATTCCTTCGGAATTGCCTTGAACATCTCTGCAAATTTCCGCCGCTCAGCTGCCTGGATAGCGCTTGTCCGTATTTTGCTTATCCGTTGTTCCATATTTTCCCGACGTGCATTTTGTTCATTTTGAAGTTTAGTCACATCCGGATGGTTGTCTAAATTATATTTAAAAAACGTGTCAGAGCCAAAATGTCCGAGCGATGAGGACCACGGCCGGGTGCCAGTATTATACATTGACAGCATACTTTCTGATGGCGCTGATGATGCTACCGTTTTCAGTGTGCTGCTAGACTCCAGGTAGTCCGTGGGTTGTGAGCAGTAGAATTTGGGTCCACTGCTTACAGGTCGACCATAAAATTCTTTGGTTCGATGTAATTGGTACTGTCCATAATCAGTGTTAGTTAAGCTGGGTGGCACCTTGTCTGTATACTTCTTCCATTTTTTTTCTTTCTTCTTCTTTGAATGCTGAACTCCCATCGTCTGAAGTATAAAAGAAAGAGTATATTGCAATTACTATTATTCTAAATAAAGAACTTGCAAAAGCTAACATCCATACAATAAAATGTCTGAATTAGGATCAAATACAGATCAAATATGGATCAGAATCTGACAGAATGATAGGATAAAGAACAAACAGGAAACGTTTATCAATGACAGGTTTCACTTTTGTTAAAGCTTCATCAGAGAATGAAATATGGAGAGAAAAGAAATTCTTGTATTTTTATTTTTTGCATTGTTTGATTTTCATTGGTTAAGCAGGCTTAATGTGCATTTAACTTGTTAAGCAGTGTTTGCAAAATTTAAGGTTATCCAAACTAAAGGAGAGACAATGGTCACTTCAAAGGTCAAAAGAATTTAACAGATCCAAAGAATAACTGAAAGGAACAAATATTTCTTTATGTATGTAAGAGTATCATAATTTTAATTTGTAAATGTGGAATTCAGATGAAAATGTGTGTGTGTGTGTGTCTATGTTTGGTGGTTGTCCACATGTTCATTTGGGGATGTTTTTACGTAAACACATGTTGTAGATAAACATACATTAGATTCTTAAAGAATGGATTTAATAAATGTTGGAGATGTAATATACTGATTTTGATGTATGTTTATAGCAGGTAAATATTTATCAGGATTCCCTTGAAGTATTTTTGACACAAAGAATTATGTTCTTTTTTAATTAGAGTGGCATTTGTGAAATGAAAGTTACGGCCAGTTTTGTTCCTGTGTATGACAAGTGAGTTTAAAAGGTGGTCCCAATGTAGATCCCTTTTATAGATGCAATCTCTCAAGGTTATAGAATTCATGTCCATATTTTTTCATTTTAAGCATATTCACAGCATGCTTCTCAATATGTGATGAAATAAGGAACACCCCACTGCAATCCTAACTAATCATTTCACCCCAAACAAGGCAATAGAGTCACTAAGACACAAGTAGTTACTGAGAGTGAAAGAATAAGAAAAGATAGAATCATTACTGATGAGTGAGAACAATAGAAGAGTAATCAAGAAGACAGTAGACAATGATTGACATTGCATTTAAATATTTGAAGATTTAAGTTAGGTAAGCATGTAGCTGGAAGAGAGTTCCACAAGTGAGAAAAGAAATTGTTGGCATAGAACTTATGGTTGCATCTAGGCAACTCGAGTGTCAATTGATGACACCTTGTTGCCAATCTAGTATTGCACTTAAATTCATAAAGTCTAGGTATCCTAGCAAAGAGAACATCAAAACAATTACCATGAAAGTTTTTTTTTTTTAGGTAAGACACAGGGAAGCAACCTTACAGTGGTGTGAAAGTGAGTGAAACTGAGATGTCAGGTCAGGACCAATAATAATGCGGATTCTTTAGTTTTTTAGCAAGAACCTCTAACATATATTTATTTTCATTAATATCAAATGCTTTCCAGTAAATTCATATGAAGCATTTCATTTCCTTTTCATGATTTTTTTTAATGTTATCAACATAGGGTTGTTTCTCTATGTCTTTTTTTATAAATACTTTCATGGTAATTGTTCAAATGAGCTCTTTGCTATGATACATAGAATTTTTAAATTTAAGCTCAGCACTAAACTGGCATAGAAATCTCATCAGTGTTGCCTAGATGTAGCTGTAAATTCTATGCTAAGAGTTTCTTCTCCCGCACTTCTTGCTTGTGGAACTCCCTTCCAGCCCCATGCTTTCCAGCCAACTTTAATCTGCAAAAATGTAAATGCAATATCAATCGCTATCTACTGTCCACCTGATTACTCTCTTCTCTTTTTGCTCATCATTAAGGTTTCTGTTCTTAATTCTTCAACACTCTGTAACCCCTTGTGTTTTAGTGACATTACTGCCTTGCATAGGGTGACTCCAATTAAAAAAAATAATAATAAAAAAAAACTGTGCTAAATAAACCCATTGGTGAATTTCTAGTTCTTTGTCCTCATTTCTAAAGATCTTTTTCAGAACATTGGCAGCTAGCAAAATTATCGAAACTATCTCACTTGTTGGCTATTGTGGCATGTTGGGGCTTCCTTACTTTGGCTGATTCAGCAGCAAGGGAAATAGTCAGTAAGGTAGAACCAGAAGTCATAAAAACACGAACAGATCCCTGTTCAACCTTCTTTTTGTCTTCCTTTTCAGCAGCCTCTACCTCACAGCCAGCTCGCTTTTCTATTTTAGTAGCCTCTACATTCAAGGCAAACACTTTTCCTTTACAGCAGTCACAACCTTCAAGCTTAGCTTGAAACTCTACTCAATCCTTGCAGAAGGCACGAGGCCCTGTCCTGGGAGCTTGACTCAGATTTCTCATGCCTCCCATGGGAACCAGTGGAGAAATCTACCTGCAAGACAACTACCAAAGGAAAACTACACACAACCCTTGCTGCAGGTCTTAGCAGTTTCACACTCAGTCCCTACTGTGGGAACTAGCAGAGAAATTTCTCTCAACAACTACTCAAGAACTTAACTAGGAAACCCCATTTTTTTCCCTTGCAAAATACTATTTTGCACTCTTTTTAACCAGAAATAAAAGCTGTTGAATAGTTATTTTGATTCTTGGGTTTTGTTCATTTTACTGTCACAGCGGAGCACAAACACACACGCAACCTGGAAAAATTCCCACAAAATCACTTAAAGGCTAATTTAGAAATGCACAAACATCAATGCTAGGGCAAACTCTAAGCAACAGAAAGAGGTTAATATGGATCTGAGAAGAAACTAAGATAAGAAATATCACAGAAATTTTTAAAAGGTATAAATAGAGTTGGGCAGGAAACTGAGCAAGAAGAAATGATAAAATGAGAAGAAACAGGTTGGTTGGTTGATTAGTGTACAATGGATAGCAAAGAATCAGAAAAGACTAGACAGAAGATAGGAAGATGAAACGGGGTGGGGGGTCATTGTTCACGGAATCATTTTCTACAGCAGGTTACTTAAAGCCAGAAAATATTTTTAGACTCTAATAAATTTTATTTTTTAGAGATAATAATAGTTTAGTGAAACAAGTCTTACTAATTAACCTATAGCTGGGGAGAGAAGAGATGGATTCATACCATTCCCCAAGGTTATTTGCACATAAGTGAATATAATGAACCCAATGAGAATTGGAACACAGCTCTCTGATTAACAATTCCTAGCCATGATAGATTACGCCACTTGCATATCCAAACTTACAGCACCTGGTATTCTCAAGCAGTCACACATCTGGATACTGACATGGTTCAACATTGATTAACTTCAGTGATTGTATGGGACCTGGTGTTTCAACATGATATGACCATAAGCCAGGGGTCATGAGGGAGTAATTAGCCATAACCTGATATGCTAATACATGACAGTTTGGAAGAAGGTTTCAATGCAGAATTATCTTTTACCTGAACTAGTTACCCTACCAAGGCTAGATATCAAAATCTACCCTATTATTTTATCCATAGTTGGGAAGAGAATAAATGAATTCATGCCTTTTCCAAGAGCATAAGTACAAAGGAAATGCAACAGCTTCAACCAGGATTTGAAAATGGCCTGCTGATAATTCATGTTTTTTTTTCACCTTCATGTTAACCTTTGTCACTCCAACCAGATTAGTCCATTGTATCAGACTGTACTTGTGAAGCATATTGGAGAACACACCAACCTAAATTTTGTGATAAAGACAACACTGATAAGGATAACAGTTCAAATAATTATGTCTGTTCCAATCCCATAGGAAATGACTACAAAAACAAAAACATCCCCACCACACTAAATTTATAGACAAACTGTACAAATTTCTCCCTAACCACTTACATTTAACCATGGCCAATTACTCTACAAATTCACAGAAACCTTCAGAATGTAGACAATCATGTGTCTCCACAGTTTCCTTTTCTTTAATCCATATCCACCTACTATCAGTTTAAACTGACACCCTTTCCCCTCATATTGATACAATTTTGCTTGTAGTTCAGAATTCCATCATATTTCTGTAAAATTTTCCCTTCATAAAATTATAGTTGATAAATATAATTTAAATTTATTGAAAAGAAGGTGACTGTTTAAACTGACTTTCTTTTTTTCCATTATTGTGACCAACTTGCTTAAAGTTTGTATTTTCTTGATTTCAAAAGAAAATTTCAGTGAAACAAAATATTTCAGTAAAATTATTACTTTCTGAAATTATACTTTATAATTAGAGTTCAGCCATATGGAATAAAAACCTGACACCAGACGGATATGGGTTAATATCTGCAAATTGCTATGCTGTCTTGGTAAGGACAGTAAAATAGTTTCTCCACTCCCACCTCTTTCACCATTTTGAATTCAGCATTGTCCTCATTTTAGACTGGTTGCTACTAAAGTCTACTGAGCCCAGTCTATCCTGCTATTCAATCCATAACTGATAAGAAAAGAGATATATTCATACTTTTTCCAAGGCCATTAGTACAAAAACAAATGCAACAGGCAGGGATGGAAATTGAATTTGGTTTGCTGCTTCCATTTTGCACTCCAATGTTTACACTACCAGCACATATTTTCTATAAAATTAAACAAATCAATTTTTCTTTTTTTTTCTTTACAAGATAAAAACACTATTTTATCTGGCTCAAATACTCCCAATTATATGTGAATTTCTACATACACAAAAACTGCTCAGTTTATGCATGTAAGTCTTAACAATATTTGAGATATAGCTTAGGGGATCAATTTCAGTTTTTAGCAAATGCCAATTTGCTTACGCGGTATAGCAAACTTACAAAGAAAGCGATAGTCTTAGCTGGAAAGCAAATTAGAAATGAGAATAAGCAAAAAGGAAAAATAGAAACAAGAGAAACTTTGATTTTACAAGAACTGAACATCAAAGCTTCAAATTTTTAGGGTATGTAGAAGGAACGTACGACTCTTTTTAGGGATATACTTTTTTTTCTTTGAGAAAACATTCTCTTCAGCACAAGATTTGCCAAGAAATATGGTAATTGAGGAATGTTGTGAGCACTAACCATTTCACAGAAACATACTAATTGCAAACATCCTGGTCCCAAAAATTAATTCCAGACTTACAGATCAAAAACACAAATCCCAAAAATCCTGATTCCTTAAGATTCTTAATGTTAACATCTTGATCCAAAATATCTTAAACCCAAAAATCAAATTCCAAAACATCCCGATCCAAAACAATCACAAACATGCTGTTCTAAAAAATACTAATCCCAAATATTAGTGTTCTGCTAATGAAAGTATTTTTCCCCAAAAAGAAAACAGCAAAATATTCCTTCTTTCTCTCAAAGAATAACTATTATGAAAGACCATCAAAGATTTTTCAAGGAACAATTAAGATGTTAAAATGCTATATTCCATGCTAATAGGAATATATACTTGAAAAACAAGATGAATAAAATAAGTAAAGGTTTATTGTACAAAAACCAGTACAATAAGAATAAAGGTAACAGTTATGCACAAGGTCGTTGCAAGTCAATCCAGTTGTGAGTGCTACTATTAGGTTGGTAGTTCTCGCGTAAGTCTGGGTCATACTCAACAGATCCCAGCTAGTATGGGTTGCATGTGGCACAAGGCTGGTTTAACGTGGGTTCTCTGAGCCCGTAGGCTTGGCCAAAAATATTCCCTTTTGAACCTGTATAAACGGGTTCAGGGGCAGTCTACCTCCCCAAACGAGACTGCCCTTTGGCAGAGCCTCGTCCGGGTTCCTCTCTGCCCGAAGGCAGAGAGTTCGACTGTTTAGCTGGAACAGATCACAGCTAGTATATTTAACAAACGAGGGTTACATGTGGCACAAGGCTGGTTTAACGTGGGTTGTCCGAGCCCATAGGCTCGGCCAAAAATATTCCCGTATAAATGGGTTTGGGGTCAGTCAACCTACCCGAACGAGACCGCCCTTCGGCAGCGCCTTGTCTGGGTTCCTCTCTGCCAGATGGCAGAGAGTTTGACTGTTTAGCTGGAACAGGTCGCAGCTAGACTCTGTAGTCCGTTGACTTACCAATACTTATAGATAGTTACTACCTATAGTGTAGTTACTCATGGGGGTGACAGGTTATTTCATTGCATCACAAAATTAAGCTGAATAGTTTTTAAGTATACAATTCAAATGTCTTTATTATTAGAGCCAACAATATACAGAAGCAAATTTCTGGGCCTTGCTGGTTTAATAGAATAATTGTATTCATTTTAATACCAGCCTTTCAACCACTTACAGTAATCATGGCTTGAAATATTTTCAACTTGTCATTGTGATTAGACTCTTTAGATAAACAGGAAATAATTTTATAAACTAGAATAAATCCTAGTTGAATCAAGTCTGAAAAGCAAGACAGATAATGAGGCAAAAAATGATTATAAAAATCAATAGCTATCATATTTTCTATCATATAAAGCATACATAAAAAAAAACTTGAAAATGAACCCTATTTGACACATTAGTCATCTAATGTTCCCAGAATTATTATAAATGATTATGTTTACAATCAAAATAATGTTAATATGTAGCAATTATACACAAGCATTATTAGGGTTTTATTTTTTTGCTAAATATTCGTTACCAAATTATCTGTGTGCTACATGACCTAGGTGAGAAGGCTTGGAATATTTTCTGTTATCATTTTCCAAGAAAAGTAAATAATGATTATGCATTTCATACTAAATAAATGAGATTAATTAATCTCAAGCTAGGAAAAAATAGTATTGTTGTCTCCGCTGACAAACTTCTAGAGGATTTTTTTTAAGAATGTTTTAATATCTCTAGATTTTTTAAAACAAACTAGGAATTCCTTTCATCAAAATTCTTTAAGATGTTTTTTTACAGCTTATCAAAATTTTATTTTTTTTTTTAAATCAGTTCATCCCAAGCAAGGTGATAAAGCCACTAAGATGCAAATGGTTACTTGGAGTGAAAGAGAATGAAAAGACTTTAGAAGGAACTGGAAATACAATCCTAATCAGTGAACAACTGATAAACCTATACTCTTGTTTGAAAGACTAGAGATGTGTGAACTGGAGAATAGAAAGCATTTTTTTAAATTCTAAGAAGCTTTTGAAGATAATGATTTACAATTGACCTATACCTGGTGGGAAGGAAATGGATTCATACTTTTCTCAAGGTATTTCCAATTCCAAGCCATTAACCATTATATCACCTTCACATCTAAGCTTACAACACCTGGTATTCCCAAGTAGTCTCATCTAGATAAGTATGTTCAGAGTAAAATACTGTACCCATAACAGAACTATCAGAGTACCACATGCCGAGGAATTTTAAGGGACAAATTTGTGATTTAAAAGACAGAAAATATGGTAATAAGTATTTATTATTAAATAGCTTTGGAAATCAGAAGCAACTACATCAGATGATGTTAGTTAATTCCAAAAATCTAATCTGTAAATAAAAATTTGTATTATTCAAAGCTGACATTTAGTTTCACAAATAATAATGAACTTTAATAAACATACATTTTTTCCACACCAGTAACACAACTCTGAGTTTCATGCATGATGCAATTGTCAGGTGCAGAGTGAAAACTGACAGTTTCGTAAGTTAAATATCAATATTTAAATTATGCAACAATCAGTTTACATTCAGCACCTGACGATTGCATCATGCATAAAACTCAGTCGTGTTACTGGTGAGAAAAAATGTATATGTACAGACTGATAGATACAATACACACAGTTTAAAATAAAAATGGGACATCTATTTTAAACATGGGTATCCATTAAAAATAATGTTTGAAGTAATACAGATGTTGAATTAAAAATTAATCCATTAATTCTATATATATATATATATATTTGTTTCTCACCATTTGGTACAACTCTGAGTTTCTTACACATGGTATATATCATACTAACAATTTTCAAATAATACACATCTAGTCAGATCATAATACTTTGGAGTATCGACCCATATTCTTTATGAAGAATAGTAGGTCATCTGCACTGACATTTTCAAATAGGTCTCTCATGCTGTTTTGTACTACATAGTCACTGTACAAAGCAGTCATGGGCAAACTGATTTCTGAATGACACACCTAATTTATGCCTAAATAACATTTTTTGAAATTTTCTTTTTTTTCTTTTCATTCTCACTTATTCCATCACACTCTCTTATACATTATGATAAAGTTCAATGTTTCTTGAATTTTCTAACCATTCATTGAAGATAATGTTTTACAGCATTTTAAGCCACTGACAATTATCACTAAGAAAAATTATAATAAATTAGAAACACGCCATTCACAATATGTATGTTAATTACACTGTCAGTAATGATGATATTATTCCAAGACTTCAATATT